TTTTGTTATATTTAGGAAACGATACTGAGCATATTGAAACCGCTTTTTCAAAAAATTAGATACGAAGAAGATCCTAAGAAAGATAATTTTATTAATTGTTTAAGAAGCGATAAAATGCGCATGTGTTCTTGATGATCCTATAATTGCACAAAAGAAGCTTTCGACAAATTGGAGTCGTATTAAATGGATTCTAAGTAATTTCTTATACAATGTTCTTTTATATTATAATTTTATTATTTGCCATTTTTAGATTTTTAATCAATTTGAATAAGAATTGGATATTCAAAATTGAAAATTTTATGATTGTTTTTTAAAACTAATAAGCTCTTGCCATAGTGGAAAAATGAATATATTGTAATGAATTGAATGTTGCGCTTATGCATATTATTTACAAAGTACACATCTGTACAGAGAAAGTTTTAAGTGGAAATGACACAAGAGAATTAGAATTTTTGGCTTGTTTTAATGAACATATTAATATATTATTGTCAATGAAAACATCAGTGAAATATTATTATAATGGTTATCCGTTTGGAAAAAAAATTGTTATACTATATTAATCTTTTCCATTACATTGTTGAAAGATTGAATATCCGGTTTGGTTCGCGTTGACATTACTTTGTTATATTTTGTTACTGATTTATTCTTGAAAACCTTAATTCCTTTCAATTTAAATTATTTTTCTCCGTGTACATATCTTATAACAATTAAATTTTGCTCGAATGCGCGATCTTAAAATATCTTGACGCTTTTGATTTTATACGTTTCACTTTTCATCTACATATTAATTTTTCACGGAGCTTGAAAGTACCGTGGTTTATTTTCGTCGAAATCATCTCCAAAAGAGTCAGAATTTCTAGAGTCAGAATATTTAGTTATATTACAGCGCGGCGGCTGTGTGAAGCGCAACCTCTCGATTATAGCACCTGCGGGAAACATGATGGCACATTGGAGCGCGCCGCAACGTCTCATAACTTTACATAAAATTAGTACCTAAAAGCCCTACGGCCTCGAGGGCCGCGGGAAGCTTTTGCACCGGCATTATGGCCGGTCGGAAGTTCAAACGTTTAATCGGCGAGCATAACATTAGATCCTGGAAACGCGTAATAACATAACCGGGAAATTGCCAGATTTTACCTCAAATGTGATTAAAGATATAAACGGCTGAATTAAAAAATGGAGGAAATAGAAATGGTAGGAGCGCGTAAAAAGACTTTGAAGATTCTTTTTTGTATTTTACATTTTACTAATTTGACCATGTTAAAATAAGGAGGATGCTAAATTAAGGCTATTTTTCGACCAAAATGAAAAGTTGCGAGATGTATATACTTAATATTATTAAAGAACTACTTAAGCGGAATTAACGGATGTATCACTAATTATCTTGGGGAAACATTTAAAACATGGGTGAAATTGCCTTTGAAATTTTTAAATTTCAATCTAAAAAGTGACAGAACTTTTTAAATAAATACTGCGCATCAAAGTATACGTAACGCACACTGGAGGTATTAAAAAAAATCAACACAACATTTTCTTTTTTTTATATACATATTTGAAATAATATTTGCAAAACTCTACGTACTTCGAAACTCAACGCTGTCGAAAAGATGAACTAAACGAATAAACGTAATTTTATACGTACAAAACTGTCTATGGTATGTGCTATGTCATATGTGTCACAGTTGTCGCACGATCGCGCGTGTACGATATCTCGGTAAGCACACACGAGAGCTATTAATTGCGATTGCATAATATTTACGACGGCGTCTCGAATAGCGGCTCTATCTCATTCCTACGAAGTTCCGCGTGTGTTGCAGGATATTTACTAGAAAATTATTCATTAAGAGGACCACCAGGAACAGGCCCAGCCCCGATAAAAACAGTTTTTTTTTCTGCTCTCCTCTTACTCCTTTATACTGTCATCCGACAAGATTACAAATAATATGAAGTAGGTACAAAATGAATAAAAAAACATTATATAGTATATAATATAGACTTTATATTAAAATAATATTTTATATTAAAACAATGGACAATCAAGGGCAAATGAGCCAAAGGCGAGTTATTGGTAGCCAAAAAACAATTCTATTTAAATCGGATCCAGACGTTTCGGCTTCAATTAAGCCATATTCATTGGATCAATATACAAATTATAGTCAATTAATAAAACATAGAGACATAGAATTTCATTAAAATTAAAATTCTCAGTAGAGACTTTGCCTTTGGTTTATTTGCCCTTGATTGTCCATTGTTTTAATTTAATTTATTGAGCCTAAATCGTTAATATTTTATATATTTTATATAACATTTCATACTTTATAAAACAGACATAATAATTTCATCAAACAAGAAATGCAGATCTAAAGCAGATCTTATAGTGCTTAATAATATTTTTTGTGTGAATCTTACAATTCAGATAATTCCATTCTTTTCAGTTCAGGTAAACTGTGCGCCAAATATTTTTGTCAATCTTGAAGCAGCTCTAAATTGAATTTGTACTACGTAATATCACAATTAAATTGACACGTTTATAATTTCATAACTTTTGAAGCGAATAGGAATCTTATTAAATTCTGTAGAATAATAAGTTTATGAATTACAAAAGTGTTAAGTAGTTAACAAGACATAAAATGACGACACACAATGAGAACAATCGCGCGCTAAAACGATTGTGCATCAAAAGAACGATTCGATCTACTTTTCTGTGCGCGATTGTTGTGATTGTTAGAAATAGGCTGCATGCGTGCATTCACAAAACCAAACGTAAAAATCGGGCTTCGGATATAAGTTTATTTATTGCAATGAAGGATTGATCCTTTTCGGAAACTTTTAAGACCTTGCCGGATTTGCTTCGGTGAAAACATCCGGCACGTTCGTGTTTTTCGCGGTTCAGATTTAGTCACTTTAGCAAGACGATACTTCTTAAACTCGGCGCGACGACCTCCCGTCGACACGCATCACATTCAGGGCAGGTAAATGTTCTGCATTTTTTTCGTTTGTTTTTTTTTGCCAGCTTTAGCTTCGCTCGAGATTTATGTAGGGAAAGAAAGTTATATATACACAAAAAAAGGACAAAAAATTTTGGGAACTAAAGGGTTGTCGGCTTTAGTATCGCCCTATTTATTTCGTTACACGCTTTAGACGTGGCGTTTGCACGTGCATGAAAAACGATGCAAAAACTAACGGTACCTAACATTTGTTACCTTTTACCATGACTAACTGATTTGAATTTGACTAGAATGATCTGGAATAACGATTTCGAATAGGTTTCGAAAGAAGTTGCTGGTTTTTTTAACAAGAGGCGATGCCTCTCCAATATGCATATCCAAAAAACGTTATAAAGACGTCGTAAAGACGTTATAAAGACACCTCTTGGATATGCGTGTTGTCTGGCCGTCCGTCGCTTTCCGAGCGAAGCCATTTTTGGCACGCGAATTAATTCGCTGGCGCGCGTTTCCTCGCTGATAAGATGATGTCTCGAGAAATGACGCGTTATGTTTGCGACAGATAATACATAGGACACTTCGTGAAGCGCCCAATTGACAGCATTTTTAACGCTTCGCCGATAGAACGTGTGAAATTATTATATACGTTTTATACATGTTACGGGCGTAACATAAATTTGTATTTAACAACTTATCATTGTTACAGTTTGTAATATATATTTTTTTAAATATGCGCATGCACAATCTACAATTCTAGGGAAGCATAAACCAGTCCTTAAGATTAAGTTAGGAGTAATTTTAAAACGAAAGATTGCATAAACCAGTCATAAATTAATATTTGGAATTTTAATACATTAACATTTTGGCACTGGACAAATCCAGCCGCGTGCAAAAATAAAAACGCTTTTATTTGTCATTTATATTTCTTTAAAGTGTTAAATTATTCTTTATAATAAGAAAAAAGTTTTTAAACTTTAAAAAGTTTATAAACGCATACTTTTAAAGTATAAAAATTACATTGATTTTCTAAAAGCGTTTTTATTTGTGCGCGCGGCTGGATTTGTCCGTTGCCGAAATGTTAACGTATTAAAATCCAAATGTGAATTTATAGCTGCAGGTTTATGCAATCTTTTAAAATTAAAAACTTAATCTTAAGAACTGGTTTATCCTTCCCTAGAATTTCAAACTGTGCACGTGCATATTTAAGAAAAAAAAAAAACAATCGCAAACTGTAACATGATGATAAAAGATGAGATAACTATAGACAGTGGAAATAATTGGATTTTTTTTATTTCAAAATATATTAAATATTAAACACATTCAATTAACTCTGTGTCTGACATTTTACTCTTTTTTGTTTTACGTGCATGCACATTACGTCTTTTTTATAAGGAATTAGAACTAAAGTTAAAAGATAGGAATCTTCTAGAACCAAGATTAAGACTATAAGCATATAATTATATTAAGACTAGGAAAACATAAACGACGTTATGACATCCTTTGTTGTTAACTTTTAAGACTAATTGTAAGATTAAGAAGTTAAACATAAACCAGCCATTAGAGATCTTGCTTCCGTTTTCTCTCAAATATTTATTGCATTATTGCTCATTTAAACGCACATGGACATTCGTCTTTGCATAAGGATCTTCTCAGTTTCTTTTTTAACGAAGCCACGACTGCCACGAGGCCCATTAAATTTTGCTTTGAACTCTGAGGCATTTAAAGTATTAGTGGCGCCACAGCTGGGAGTATTTACGAATTTCATTTCATCAGAGTTCCATCGATATTACAATTACATTATATGTGTATAATTATAAGCACTACTTTTCATTGATAAAGAGTAAAATTGATTTTGCGGAAAATTATAAATATAAAAAAAAACTTATTTATGAAATATATGGAATAAGTCGGATTGTTGAATATTTTTCTTTTTTAACTGCAGAAAAGATAATTTTTAGATAAGAATGAAAATTTTCGGAACTTGTCGGCAATGAAAATAATTTTAAAAATATAAAAAATTTCAAACAATGTGTGATAGAACATACACGCAATGGATAATTTAAAAATGATTTATTACACAGATTTAATAGCGTATTTACATAGTTTCGTCAATAATACATTGGTTTATTATATGAGGCCATTACATAAAAGAGGCAATTTTATGTAGATTTCTTTCCTAATAGATAATAAAATAACACCGTAAAAATTCGTGAAACATGATTCTGCTATATGCTGTATATCAAATTCAACTTGCATATACTATTTTTATAGATATACGTCTATAATAGAAAATTGTCTTTCGCTCGAACCGTATAATTATTTTGGTGTAAAAGAGACTTTTAAAACTACCCGATAGATTGTTACAAATTTCATTATTATATTTATATGGTATAAAGTACATTCTATTTACAATCGGTGATCATTAGTCAGTAAAAAGTGATAAAAATAAATAAGTGTATAAAATTTTGTATAAAAGAGTAAACCTCCAATATAAATCGATTAAATTCATACTGAATATGAACGGAATATACACAAGTGCGATATATAATTCTAAACTTTTGCAAAATTTTCCTTTTTTCCTGAACTATTTGTTACGCAGGCTCGATGCTTTTTAGATTCTGTTCTATGTATATACTATCTCTTTTAACAATTATTGTAGAAGTTGACTCTCCTTCCGTCATATAATTATCTTTCGGATATCACACAATTTTTCATGCGTTTGCCATTTCGGATCTTTACTTCGTTAAAGAGAAACGAAGCTCTACTAGCACGAAATTACATAAATAAAAATTATTTTTATATCATAAAACACTTGATGACGGTGATTATTGCACCTGGCATGTGCATATAATAAAGAAGTTTTATAATATTGTGCGCTAACATGATGTCATCTAGATCTTAACGATAATGTCTATGAGCATTAAGGACCTCTATATGTATAATTTCAGGGCAGTCTTTATACTCGCTTCATCGTACATTACCCAGTGGAAACCACTCGTTAGTTTCGTTCGTCAAGTCAAGACGTCCGAGCGGCAGACTTATACCACCGAGAAATTCATTCTCCTGCAGAGTATCGTGATTCCATATCGTTGCTTCAAGCGTTCTCTCCCTGATCACTTCTAGAGGCATTCTATACTCCAGCTAGTGCAAAAAAATGAGTTATAAAATTAGTTATAAAATTAAAATTCTAATTAAGCGATTAATGCATCTGGCGCTTATCCATTATCTGAGCGTTTATAATCTATTGTAAAAATCTTGACGTCATTTACCATCTCCATGAATGACGGGTGACAATTCTTCTTTACTACTTTCGTTTTCCGTTTCGTCGCTTTTGTAGGATCGGGCTTGAGATATACCTTCACGTATGTATTTGGCTCTTGAGCATTAGCCACTTTGGGGAGTCCTCGCGCATGGCAAACCATGACGGATAAAGTGCCGCGAACGTAGTGAAGAGCCAACTTGATCTGACCACTCTGTATGTTGTCTCTGACTCTCTTCTCAGCCCACCAATTATTTCCCACTGTTCATATAAAAAAGTGACATCGTTTTACTTCGCTTTATTGCATAAACTTTAAACGCTCGATATCAATTATATTTTTACAAAACACAGCTTTTTAAAATAATTATATTTTGCTCTTATCATTTTTAATACATACTTTGTAACAATTAAGATTAAATTTTGTCTAATTTTAAAGTTAGCTATAATACAAATGAATAAATACTGCTGCGTTTAACAAAGGATTTAATCCAGAGAGCGTTTAATAAATAGTGCATACAAATAATAATAATGTATTTGGAGAATTTGAAATGTATTAAAATATACCTTTAACTTTGCGCAAACGAATATCGGGGTTCTTTTGGTCTCGTAACAGCGGATGGAAGAACGTGTACACCAGATCGCTTTGGGATATTTCCGGTGCCATTTTAAACAGACTCACGAGAAACTTTTCTATGTCCGCCCGCCGTTTATCAGCCACCTGCTTAATATTAGAACGCCCCACGCTAATTCCACTTGGTAAGCTGTAAAACAAATAGAGAGAGGATCAAGTTTATTTTCGCATTCTGCGAATGAACAGGATGTTTCCATATTCGTAAACATCGTGATATTCGCGCCTCACTCGAAGGATTAAGATAGGTATCGTTAGACGGTATCGTTTCACAAATAAACAACATAGCAGAGGCGAAACGGCCGCGTTGAGCAGCGCTACATCGTGAGATCTCTTTGTACTGTAGCAAGGGAAAGAATGAACTTAAACTCAAATGTTTTAATCTGAATAGAGTGTCGCGTACATTAATTAATGTGTTCGTTTAACGTTCAACGAATTGTGCCACGTTCGCCAGTTAATCATTGCGTGACTAAGACTGCTAAATATGTCTGACTTTAATATCAGATGATCTGAAGATAACACATATCAAAAGGCACGACATTGTGCGCGCGGAGTTTTTGCGTTTAAGATATCTCCTCGTGCCTCATACGACATATTGTCTTCGCTCTGCGTCGTTTTTCGAATACGCGTCGAACGCGAAAAGCTTTTGTCCGTGACTACGTGACACGCGAGCAATTTTCACCTCAAAGCTATAGTGTGATTAATTCAATCAAGCCGATCTGAAACGTGATATTTTTTTTTCTTCTAAAATAAGCACGAGTGATGACAGCTGCCTTCACAGTTCTGTATTGTAAGTATATAAATCATTTTTTAAAATTGTAAGAAAAGAAATTGCAAACTTTGCATATCATTTTATGTATAAAGAAAATTAATATTGCGAGACAGAAAAATAAAAGATATAATATAATTTTTAGGATACAAAAATTACGTTGAATAGATATACCTGATTCTCGAAAGAGAAATCGCAACTTGTTAATATATCATTTCTTTTCACAAGAGTAAGTAATTTTATACAAAGTTGATATCCTCGTAATATTCAAAGAAAGATGTACAATATTTTTAATGCTATCAATAAAAGTACGGCAATGTTATCTGTATAGATAATTTAAGATTTCATTTAAGAGTTGAAAGTCTTTAATGGAAATTAACTGTTTTCCAGAAATCTAGTATTATATTTTAAAAGGAAATGGGTCTAAATTGGTTTCGAGCAAGTCTATCGATGGAGGAAGAAGCGTCTAAAGTTGACACAATGACGGGCATGTATCGGAAAATTTCATTCTTCGAGCCGAAAGATGTGGAAATCTCAGCTGCGCCTCCATCCGTCGCAAGTGATTCAATATCAAGTGAGGAAACAGCGGAATATGACCGTTCGAAAGCAGATCTTACGAGTCAAACATCATCAACTATTGATTTGGAGGAAATGACGGTAAAAGATACTGATAAAAAATCGAAGATAAATAATCATGCAGTTGAAAATACGGAGCCTCCTACTTTCAACAAAGATCCAAATGTAAACGAGCAATCGGGGGAGCGCGACGAGGAATCAAACAAGATAACTAAAGATCAGAATGATACGCCAGTTACAGAAAGTCCTATCTGTTCAGATAACGAGCTAGTGATTTAATAAGGAGAAAATGTTACAGAATGCATGTATATAAAGACGTTTTGCACGAAAGCTGGACATTTTTGTCTCGATTCGGATATACTATTTTATATAGTTCTATATATATATATATATTATATATATATTATATATATATATGTATAATATATATTATAATATATATATATTATATATATTTTATATATATATATATACACAATATTTCTATCTTATATCTTTCTGTATATGTACGTTTACTTACTTTTATTATTATTTATACATTACATTTATACATTAATTTGTGAAATTGAGATATATAATTGAACTATGTGTGCAGAAAAAAATATGCAGCATATCATATGTATATTAAATATGTTAATATTACGTGTTTACGTAAAGTATTTTAGTATATATAATGAAATGTTGAACATGTATAACTTTCGCGTTAGAATGAATATGCGTATAAGATTGCAATAATCTTACAATATTTGTGTTGGACATTAGAAGAAGACGAAAATAAAGATGGGAATATGAAAAGGAAAATATATATTTACCTGGTTACTTTAGCAAGTGGAAAGTGTATGCACAATTTCTGATAGAATTCGCAAAATTCTTTGTACGATCGGAATAGATATGTCGGGTCCGGTTGGCCCTTTCGTTGTATCCGTAATATGTACATGTAATACTTCTCCGGATCGTAGCGTTTTTGATATCCGTGAACCTGGACACTTGTTAACTCGCCTTCCTGCTGCATTCTACAACAATTATTTTAAAAATATATTAGTGATGTTACTGATGAAGAAATCGGGAAAAGTCATATTTCTGATTTTTTAGGGTTTCATTGCTGTGCTTACTCGTATAAAGTTTAGCAAAAATGAAAAACTCACGTATACGTGCGCGGAATGAAGGATAACAGTTCTCCCTCGCTGTGATCTCCTGAGAATCTCATCTGCGCCAGATTATGCAGGAAAAAGTTGAATTGCGTGAACCAACTTTTCAGTGAACTTTCTATCATGCGAGCGAAAGTCGCCGCTGCTTCGGGATTTGTTTGACCAGGCAGCAGGGCCTTCTGCACATAACTAACTGCGTCCACGGTCACCCCGGGGATACCGGACGAAGTCATCTGCGAAGACGTATACTCGTTCATTCTCGCCTTGTTTAAATGATCCTTTATCTCGATATCGTGCAGCTTTCGCGCTATGACACACTGCTTGTGCAGATCACCGAGAAGATTCTTCCGCGATATTAAATTATCCATTGCGATTTATTCGGTGAATATTAAAATAACGAATAAATCTCGGTTTCTCGCTGTGCGAGCTTTACGTGAATGCTACAGAATTTTACAACGATTTTTTTTTACTCATTCCCAACGGTACTTTACTCTTAACATGATTGACTCAGACTGCTGCAGCGTACGATATTATGGGAGCGCGGGCGATAAATATACTAATTAACTACGCATATAGTTTAGTGAGATAGCGGTCCGGTTTCTGATAAAGCACACGGATATGTTCTTCCGTTGTGGTTTTATTGTTTTCATAGCGACGCGGTAGACCGCATAACTCTTAAATTTCTTTATTTAAAAGATATTTATTTTAATCTAAACTAATTATTCTCAAAATTCACATGAAACAACAATAGGTAATTCAAAACATACATCAGCTGATCATGCTAAAAATATATATATCTTTCAAAAATGACGTATTCAATGTCATGTAAATTATGAGCTACTTAAAATTCATTTATCTTGACTAAAAAATTTGAAGATATTATGTTAACAAAATTTATCGAAGATTATGGTATATAGCTACTAGCATAACAAATTTATTGGAATCCAAAAGAAATTAATACACAATAATAACTCATCGTTATACGTATTTTGCATGAAAATTACAGAAAGATGTAACTTTTAGAAAAGAAAATTTGAGAGCTATTTTGTGCATTCATGAAAATATGTGTAAGAAATATGTACACGTATTTGCCTTTATATATCTTATTGGAAATTGTTAAAATCATTAATTGTATCACATAGCAATCAATCTTTCCTCCAAGTATAAAAATGTTTTAAAACATACCAGTCCAAAAAGATGAAGAATAAGATTTCCATGTTTCCGGACTATATTAAAAGCCTGGCAACACAAGTCCACAAAATGATGAAACTTCGCTGAAGGTTTATCACCACCATTTATGACGTATGCCATATCAGACGTCAGTACAAATGGCGTCCTATCTCTGATTAAAAATGTAATACATTAAGATTACATATCTCTCTCTAATCTTTCTTACTTAAAATATAGTACATGTTTAGAAATAAATAAAACGCAAATGTATTATGGTATACACTCACCTTTTAAAGTTTCCAAACATCTGTGCATCACCAAGAAACTTTCCAAAGTCGATATGAAACAAGTGACCAGATGTCTTTAGCATGATATTATCATTATGCCTATCACAAATTCCTAAAATGTAAGTGGCAACGCTGTAGCCGGCGCAAGAAGCGGTGAAATTTTCCACCGCCCTCTCATATTCCAGTTCCGATGGATTGTGCTTCGCTAGCCACTCCGCGATCGGCCGATCCTTAAACGACCCAGTTAGCCCAAACTCGACCTGGATCTTCCGTAACGTTTCTGCATTCGTTACCATTTCTATCATTCCGCGTTTGTGGCCGGTGGGCACGCAGGCGAAAGTGACCATTTTCAGATCGAGGCCCTCCTTCAACCACAGTTTGTCCATAATGCGTACCATTTGGAGGGTCAACATGTCCTGCTGCAAATCGTCGCCAACCTGAAAATGAAAAGTACGATATGTACGTGAATAGCTTCAAGCTTGTACAAGCTTCTTCAAAGCTTTCGAAGAAAATAGCATTTTGCAGGGTGCACTTTTACCCATTGAAAAACGTACCTTGAATATTGCCGGGCTTATAACATTATCACAACTGATGAAGTTGATTTTCAACGGGAGAGTGAACGACGGGAAGTAGGCACATGTCTGTACATTGATACCAAACACTAATTTACTGGGAGACAATGGTAAACACGTCCCATTATCTTCCATTAACTGGCAGTGTATATTTTGCAAACCAGTTTTGAGCGTATCCATTCGTAACGATTCCTTCGTAATTTTAATATTCTCGGCCACTTCGTGCAGGTTCTGTACAGATTATGATATATACTTAAAGTATATTCGAAATGAACAAGGCCATTTGAAATAAACAAGATACCGTTAAGACGTACCTTAACTAGCAATTGTTGGGTGAGGAAACTTTTTCGCAGCGCATCTCCGATAACTGCCAATAGCGCTCTCAGCATTAATTGCAATCTTCGTTGATACCGAGCACAACTGATAGCTTTGTCATCTTCCGCGGCAATTTCAGAAGAATTCTAAAAAATAAATGCCCTTTATAATTTAACAGAAAATTCTATACTAATATTAATAATGTATATCGCATGAAGCAATGCTCTACCATTTTAATTATACACATTATACAAAAAAGCGATTTTCTATCTGCAATCACACAATTGTAAGCGTTGAAAACAAGTGCGTAAGCATTAATGTCACCAATGCTGATCACCCAACCTGTACCTGGGGACTTTGTCCCGGCAGCGCTTGATTTAGCAACCAGTAAACGTAATGAGCCACTCTCGGTGAAAGTAAGGCACGTTCTAATAAGAATCGAGTTAGAGGTGATGTTTCATACGTCTCATGCTTCATCGCTTGAAGTAGTTGCGGTAGATAATCGACTAGTTCGTCATTACTTAACTCGCGAATCCAGTCAACTGCCATCTCTCTAACTTTCATATCTGGAAAGCTGTAAAAAAAAAAAGGAGAAAACATGACTGCGAAACGGTTCTTCAAAAGTTGTAATAGAGAAATCATCGGTAGCGATACGTACCATGGTAAAAGTAACTGTAACGCTTGCACCGGAGGCAAGGGACTCCAAATTCTGAGCGACGCGTGTAAGTCCGGGAGACACGCCCAATCCCAACTGTGTGCGGCAAGTAATACTTTCGGCAGAGCTTCAGGTCGGTCGTGTAAGTAATGCCTTTTCTCCCACAGAATTTCCCTTTCATCGATAGGCGGTCTGGAGAAAAGAATCGACTTTTACAAAACGCCATTTTGCAAACTTAACCTACGTTTTTGATCACATCAGTTACAGCATACCTCGAGAATGTATCTTGTTGTGTAATATCTAATAACAGCTCCTGCGTATTTTGATCCAACGAATTAAAGTCTAACGAGTCCACGTCGTAATCTCGCAACTCCGAGGAATTAGGGAATAACACCTTTCCCCCGTAATCGGGCAATTCTACACCTACAATGGGATGAGTGTCGCCACGAGGGTGAATTCCAGGCGCTGGTGCCGGGCCTAATCGCTTGTCTGCAATGGCTGGCCAGAGGGACAGAAAAAAACTCCCTTGGCTCATAACGCTAGAATTGAAATGAAAAGATACATAAAAGTGTGTGCATATGAAGCAACGAAAAGCATAAGGAAAAAGTATCTAGAAGAGAATTTCGAAGATAAAAAGCTAAATGTGCGAAGAACAGTTCGTGAAATGTGAACAATCGTGTCATTTACCCGTCGTAATCGAAGAATTGTATAGCACCCCATCCGAGTTCCTCCTTCTGCATCGCATTCTCCGCGGATGAGTTGGACTCGTGCTCCGCGGGCTGCAGCGTGCGGCCGTAGAGAACCAACACAAGTCTGGCTTCCCGTGGTACTTGACACACGCTTATTCCACGAAATTCCATCCTGGTATAAATTACGTGATTCTTATTAAATCCAATTGCGGCATTCTCGGGTATAGTCATCGTAACTGCATCCCCACACTTACCATGAATTGAATAAAATCCTTGGATAAAAGTTCGTGCTGACCGTCATTGGTTCCGATAAAACTGGATTCCCCACGGGTCTGGTTCCGTGAAAAATTTGAGCTGCCACAATGTAATCGTCATGTTTCCACGTGGCTGGTAGCCTATGCAGAGCTCCAACGCGCACCAGAATAGTATCGATCACTTCTGTCGCAATCAGTGTATCTGTTAAGGGAAAAATACATCATGATTATACCGTAATTTAATTTTACACAAATGTGTAATATGTGTCATAAAATCAGGCTTCTTACTTGTCGGAAATTCTCCCTTGCTATTTAATTGAAAATCGACCTTGAACGCATGACAGTACGTCTCGACGAGCTCTTGAACAGCATCGCGTATTTTATGACAATGCGAGGCAATCACATCGGGGAACTTCTTTCTCAAGGTAACCACAGCGTAATCGCCGTCTTCGTGTATAATCTCCGGCTTCTTACATTCTATATTAGCCGTGTGAGCTTGCGGCAGAAATTGGCAGCAAGCGTTCACGAAATTGTCAATTGCCTCCGTGATCTCGAACGTCTCGATGTTTCCCATTAAGGCACACACCGCTTTAACCGCTTGCACCACACAGTGCGGTTGAAGTTGAGGTAATAGGGTAGAACCTTGATTCGTGGTTGCTATTTGAAACGCTGCAGTTTCTACGCGTTCCATTTCCTTCTCTACTGTTTCTATAATAGACATAATAAAATGCAGTGTAAATATGCCATAGACGAAAAGATTCTTTTCATATGTATTAAATATGTACCTAGTAAAATAATTAATGTGTCGTATGAAATAGGCTGCGACGGTTCATTTGGTAGAATGTCTTCTAATTTTAGAGACTGATCACAATTATCATCTTGCAGCTGGAAAAAAAAGCACGATAACAGTTCAAACAATCTGTTCGCCGATACGTTGTAATAATGTTTGTATGACATACGATACTGACCGTTCGTGCAATGGACTGTTTAATTTGTGCCCTGCTCATTATAGCTAGCTCGATATCTTTTTCTAATTTTATGCATAGATGTATGTACTCGTATTGTGCTAAAGTTGTGTTAGGTGCAAGATACTCGGCTAATCCCCATACTCTTAAACAATACTTTTCTACATTCACCGTATCTTCATCCTCCAAGGAACACGCAACGTTCAGGATAACGTGCTCGACGCTGCAATTCACTGAAACATCATGTTTAAAGTAATATTAATACATAGAGAGAGAGAGAGAGAGAGAGAAAGCAATCTTATTATAAAAAAAGATTTTCTTTTAAACTTACCATTACAAGTGAAAGTAATAGATGATACAGGATCTTTCTCGTTATTAGGTAATTGTGGATGAACTACTAATTTTATACTTGTACCATCTGGATATAAATTCTCCATTATCGGACTAACAACGTATCCAATATTTGTACTAGGATTATTAAACGGAAATTCGCCTGAAAGTTATTTTAGATTATTACTTAAGAATCAAGTTAAAAGTGCAACAAAGGTGTATTTAATCTACTAACTTCGTATAGATTTTATCATGTTGTGTAACGCCTTCAGATCACAGTCATGCAGAGATGATCTAGTTTTAATGACTGTTACATTTTCATACAATCGTGTTTGACGCTTCTGCTGAAAATGATATTAGAGAGAGAGAGAGAAAAGTAATAATTGTTGATCAAAGGTTAGAAATCTTTATCGATACTTACTCGACGATCTAAAGAAGTTCTTCGTCTCTCTATGGTATTCCATGCGGACGAATTTCGCGGAGGCAGTGGAGGTAGTGCAGCTGGCGACACAGCTGGCGATTTTGCAGATTTCTCCACGGCGGCGTAAACCGGATCGGAGTTGACGCTTTCATTTGTGCTATACATGTAATCAAACGGATCAAATGGATCGTATACACTGCCACTAACTTGCGATTGCGAATCTGCAAAAAAAAGTGATTCAATGATAACGAGATATAATTCAGAATGAGATAAGATATAGATTCGAAATAACAAAATGGCTGGACTTGTATTTTCAGTCACGTGTTCGAATTTTAAATTTTCAAACTGTATATTATTTTATGCTAGAATTTTATACTATATTAATAATTTAAAAATGAAATTTGATAGTTTACCGTCTTTATGTTCTTGCACAGAATTATTTCCATTGTCAGTCTTAATAAGTAACGGATCGAATGCCTCCAGTACGCTAACACGTACATTAGTTTTGTCCTCTGTTTGCTCAAAACTATTCAAATCTATGAGATTGCTATTTGGTTTTTTCTCTATCACTTTTAATACATTCAACTGTTCATCATCCATACAAAATGGAGCACATATGGCAGGTGTAACAGTTGGTCTATAATTCATAGGCAATGGAGGAATCTAAAAAAAAAGTAAATATATTCAAGACAATATTCTCTAGATTTTTCGTCATTAATTAATGAAAATTTCTTATTTGAATAACTAGCAATATATATATTTAAAATATTTTTGCCTTCATTAAAAGATAATAAATGAAAATATAAATAAAAAAATATATAATTATCTTTAATATAAAAAATTATTATGCTAAAAAAAAGAAGAAAATAAGCATCTTCCGAATTTCAGATATGATATACCTGTGTGAAGAAAAAATGCTTAAAGATAATAGATTTCCATGCAGGCTGCAAAGAAAAGTAGCTTTAACACACACATAGACTACTCAGTATTAATATACACCCACAAAAAAATTAAAAAAGAAAAAAGAAATAATCTTATAAGAGTTTAGAAAATACATTTCAGAACAAGGAGGATTCCGTAGAAATCTTTATTACCTGTGGTGTAATATCAGGTACATTATTGCTAACGCTACTAGCTCTTGACATGATAGGGCTGATTCCCGGTGTTCCTGGCGTGCATGGTGCAGTGGAAGATCGCGGGCCTGGCGAAAGGGAGTGATACCTGAAGTCCCTAGAATGATATGCGCCGACTGAGCTATTGCTTCGAGACACTCTTGATTGTTTTTTCAATAATGACGGATGGGTATCCCATTTAGGTTCTACAGGTGCTTTTCTGTAACAAAATATTTCTAATAACCATGCTTTTTCACAAAAAAGACAAAAAACTACAGTGGTTTCAATAAAAAAAAAATGACTTGTCAGAATTGTTTAAATTGCTATATATAAGTTTCATGATTTACTTCAAAATCAAAGTAGAAATAATACATTAGGTGTTAAATTTTGTTTCTGCCGCTCACAAGAGATAACTCCAGCTGCAAAAGTAGCGATTTATGGCAGCTAAAGTTGATTGTCTTTTAAAAGTTAGACATCTATCACATCTAAAATTTAGTGCGCAAAGGTTCATTGCTGTGAAAACAGTGACATTTTTTAATCGATTTAAAATAAATAGTGATAAGTGGTTTTTTCAATATGTACTTCTTTACTACTTTAATTTTGAAGAAAATGCGACTGAAGCGCATTGATTGCTTTCTGAAACTTATGAACAAGCTCCATCAGAAAGAACATATGGAGACTGGTTTAACCGATTCAAAAGTGATGATTTCAGAAGACAAAGAATGTTCAGGACAGCCAAAAAAATATGAGGATGCTGAATTGCAAGCATTATAGGATGAAAATCCAACTTGAACACTTGAAGAATTGTCAAAAGTGTTAAATGCTGTTTCTAAATGTTTACATAGCCAGTAATTGATAAAAAATGACTCTTTTGCAACGCGCTGTTACACACTTTTCCAATTACAGACAAGTCGGAAAATGGATGGAATACATATAGTTTGTTTCAATGGTCAGCTTGTTTTATCATCGAGGAATTCAACTTTTGCCAGAAAGGGAAAAGATACAAAACGATGGAAAATATTTTGATACTAAGGCATTAACTCATATTCAATATATATCCATTAATTCATAATTATAAAAACATAAATTCACACATAAGTGCAGACAAGCACTTAAGTGAATTTTTTCTTTGAAAAATTGCCTCGTCTCTCAACTGTAGATATATATTTATATTACAGAAATATATTTACGGTGGTGGCGGAGGTGGAGCCGAACAATATTCAGCCAGATTATCCTGCTTCACGGGGCTCGTGAAATTAATCAGATCAGCAGAAGGACCTTGACTCGATGCGGTAGTCGTTGAATTTCTTCTACACGGTATCGGGGGTGGCGGTGCTAGTATTACAGTACTCTTTTGATTTGTGTTAATGGTTCCCGGTCTTGGTCGACTTCTGCACTGAGATCTACACACATACAACACAATAGGTCTGTTTTTTGTAGCTGAACTGCTGCACTAGTTCACAGTTTATTTTTCTCTTTCTACATTGGAAGAAGAAAGATAAACTCTGAACTAGTGTAGCTAGTTCAGCTATAAAAAACAGACCTAATAAGTCACCTAATTGTCATTGTACAGTTACGCTCCTATCGAGCTCAAACCGTGTAAAACGTATTTTCAATTTTGTAAGGTTAAAAACAGCTGATTAGAACGCGGGCAAGTGTCGAGCGCAGAAATGTATATATATATACCTCTCTCCTTGCGAGCTGTCCGTCTCCGACACGCTGTTCGTATTGCACACATTGTTTTGCGCGAGCTGCACGTTACTAAGATCCAATCGCAACTTCTCCAACCTGTACTTCTCCAGTGCCAGGGTCTCCAGACTGAGGGCCTTGGCCTGCTCCAGGTCCTCCTGATACTTCCTTTCATGGTCAATCACCGCGGCCTTTTGATCGCAGGTGCTTCTGCTGTAGTGTGACATCTGAAATCAGATTCGAGAGGATCATGCCGGTTGCGCCGGTGCATTTCTATTCGACGGTCCGCAACAGCTGAACTCTTAGGAGCGGCGACACGGCGTGTCGTGTAAATCACTGCACGTTCTAACCTATACCGGACGGCAGACCAGCGAACGGAGGAGCCAGCTGGAGCGGAGCTGCGCTCCCCGCTCGTGCGAACGGAGCGAATCGATCTTGGCCTCCTCGAGAGGACGAGGTCCCACCCCGGATGGTTTATCGGCTGTCGCGGTGCATCTTCTCGCGGTCGCCCCGTCGTGTTCACCCTGCAAACGTCCCACCGCGTCACGGACACGGATCTCTGTCGCGCGGACTCTCCGACGTAGCGCGATCACGCGTGCGCTACCGCAGGCCAGTGGCCGGCCAGCAGGCGCGATGTCGTACGCGCGCGCGTATCGATATACAAATAACACACGGGGGAAAGGAGGAGAGGAGTGATATAATAATAAGAGAGGAGGAATCTGCCCGGAGAATGCGCGCTGCGCACGGGCGAGCGCGCGTTTAAAGGGCCGCGTTATCGGTGGCAGCCGCGCGACGGCTGCTGGACGACTTCGGAGTTGAGACTCGAGTAATCCGCCGGCGGCGGCCTCACCGTGGCATTATTCCTCGAACACGGGCGCACGTTTCCTCGGGCTCGCTGACAGGTGCTCCGCCGCGAGTCCGTCTTTCTCTCTCCCTCTCTCTCTCTCTCGATCCTCCGTCTCGCTTCCACGCGTCGCGCCGATTAACGGGCCGATCCGCCGACGCAGCGCGCCGTGACGTGCGCACGGGAAAGTAACGTCCTCGCCCGCGTGCGCTCCTCGTCCTCCCGGTTCCGGCGGCAGCGCGAAGCTTTTCGTCGAGAGCCCCCGCGAGAGAGTCTCGCTCTCCTGCCTTCGCTCGCCCGAAACCTCGAACGCGGCGCGGCGTCACGGCCAGCCGCGGCGAGCGACGGTGGGCGGCACTATACTGACTCGACGACTCGCGCGAATATACTGTTGTCACGGCGCGGTCGACACGGCCGCGTCGAGGAAGTGGCTTCGCCGACAACGAGCGGGGCCCGCGCGCGCCGATCCGATCCTCGCGGTCGCGCGAGGCCTTATCCGATTCAATTTATATATGGAGCGCGTAGGCCTCGCGGCGCGGCGGCCAGTTATAGGAGTTCCGCTCACCGTGCACGCGTATCCGCATCACGAAGTCGTACGAACTGTCCCCGACGGAGCTCCTCTCGTATATGGTAGCTGCTGCGTATCGCTCCGCTCCGTTCGCTTATACGCGACTTATTTGTTTATTCACGGCCGTGATTCACGAAGTCGGCGCTCAGCTTTCGCCGCGCGCGAAACCCGTCGCCCGTTGAAAGAATGGCAGAGAAAACATTTGGGGAGAAAAGATTCGTTCGCGTAAAATTCGTCTGAACAACACTGGCACTTTATTTACTTCGAAACGCCGCATTTAATATAAATACATTCTACAAAAGTAAAGTACGAGTGCCTCTCGCGAAAAGTTAAAAGCGAGTCATTTCTGGAGTCTAGTATAGTGTGAAATAAATCTTCGCGCGATATGAAAGCATATATACATAAGTACGTAGAAATGAGAGAGTCGCTGATAACAGCGACTTGATATGTTCATAACAGCAGATGCATATATCACTTTTAATCATTTAAATATCTTAGAATATCAATTAAATCATTCCAAATTTCTTTTCTCTATTCTATTTGATGAATTAAAAAAGAAATTTAAATTGATACTCCCATCCTGTACAACCTTCTACCAGCTTCTTTCAGCTAAGTTTTATGTCGATGATTCTTTCTATTGGCTCTTCTGTTAAGATTAAGTATGCCTATATATTCGTGCTTGCCCCGTGCCGAGGGACGTCTTTCTTTTATTTGCTGTATCTGTTTAATCCACTTGATCAGTGCCTCAAGCTCCTGTTGGGCGTTAAAACATTGAACGATAACAAATAAGTATAATAGCTGGCATTTTTCTAGTCTTTCGTCGCGTTCAGCTGAAAGAAACAGGCCTATTATCAAAACGATTTTATATATTGTATATACGTGTATTATATATACTTGTAATATTAACTTTTTTAACTTTAAATCACCGGGTTTTTTTAGGGGAAAAACGAAAACGCTCTTATGTCTATTTCTACCAAGGTAGATTAACTTTAATCCAGGTTTAACTTACTTTGTATCTTTTTCTACTTTTAAGAATTAGAACAAGATAAAAAGTAAATAAAACCGTGACTAAAGTTAATCTACATTGGTACACGGAAAGAACAATTTTGCTGAATCCAGATCTGAAAATAATTTTTGTTCAATAATCAAAATAATTTTGTGCGAAAGTCAAAATGATTGCTAGAATATCAAAATGTTTTATAGCAATGCTTATCAGTTTTAACATTCTAACAAATTATCAAAATAATTTGTTAGAATGTTAAAACTGATAAGCATTGCTATAAAACATTTTAATATTCTAGCAATCATTTTGACTTTCGCACAAAATTATTAACATAACAAAAAATCTTCAGATCTGTATTTAGCAAAATTTTTAGACCTTTCAACAAAATTGTTCTTTCCGTGTTTAAATGGACATCAAACACCGCATCCGCATTTAGGAAGACGGAGTAATGCCAGCCAAAATCCCGTCTCGCTCGTGGTCACGAGGCTCCGCCTGCTGAACTTGATCGGCACCGGCGACTTGTCGCATATCTCGACCCGATGATCCTTGAGGTACGCTATTATCCCCATCTTGATTTGCAGCAACGCGAATCGCATGCCTGGAAAGTTGCGAAATCGTCATAAATCCGTCCGCCGCGATTACCCGGCGTCGCGCCGCGCCGCGCCGCGCCGCGCCGATCGGGTTACTTAATTGCTGACTTAAAGCGGCGCGGAGTTTGAGGCGGAGACTTATCAAATCGGGACGCGCGGAGCTGCAGCTTTTGCATGAAACGCACGCATACGGTACATTATCAAGGTCGTCGTCCTCCGGGCCGCATAAATTTGCACGCTCAAGCGAGCGGCTGCGTCTCCGACCTCTTGAGCCAATAATTGCTGTATACGCGAGTTATTTGAACGACGAATTTCGCACGCGACGCAACGCTTTAATATATGCAATCTAACCGTCCGTCCGTTTATTAGTTGAATTAAACGATCGGCCGACGATAACGCGTGGAATATCGGCTGAATGTGATTCAATAACATTAGCATACTTTTGCATGAAGTATATACGGACGGAGATAAGGGGAAAATGCATGAATCGGATGCGCGATAAGACGATCGAGCGGGATTACACAGCGTATTTGCGAATTCTATATAGATATTATTTTTTATCGCGAATGTCAGCTGTCACGGTTCTCAAGTGCTCATCGAAGTCAGTAAGCTTTTTTTTTGGTTCAAACGAGCGACGTAGCTAGCACGTGACGTAATATCGCGTTGAGTCAGCGGATTGTGAATTCCGGATTGACCGTTTGCTTAATTTGCTACTCGCAATTATACCGTGATATCATTCACATCCATCTACGGGAAAAAAAAGATTAATTAAAAAATTTTAACCTTAACGGACTGCTCCGTCCGAACGACGCGAAAAATAAAATAAAAATATAGGTGTTGAACCGGATTAACTTTTTTTTAGATCTGATGAGATTTTTATAACTATAATTAATTATAATAATTACTAACAAAAATTAATAGATAACAATTATCTGGATAACACTACTCTCTTTCTTTAGTTTTTTTTTGTATACAAATGTTATTCATTTTGTTTTTTATCTCCATAGTACATACTCGAGGTGTTATTTCTCCCCAATTTTCTAGTTGTTGATACTATTTCTTTCTCTAACAATAAGTGTAAAAATATATATGATATACAATACCTATACAATTTCGTGGCCCTTCACCGAATGGAAGAAACGTGTAGGGGTGTCGCGTACGTTTGTTCTCTTCCGTGAATCTGTCAGGATCAAATCTTGCCGGATCGGGGTAGTAATTCGGGTCATGGTGGAGGCCGTAAATCGGGATGACGACCCGCATGCCGGCCGGCAGTTCCACATTGCTGTTCGGTATTCGATACTTGTACTCACATCTTCGAGAGAACAGCGGGGCTGGCGGATACTTCCTGAGGGTCTCTACATTTCCATAAGCGTTCCCAGATTATTTTCAATGGTTTTATTTATACTGTCGCGTGACGATTTTTATCGTCGTACGTGAATCTCGTTGTTCACGATAAAAAAGATTACGTTCAACGAAGTGTAGAAGTGTATAGAAATATTTATCCTTATCGGACTTATATCATCAATAACAACAACTAACGGGGTCCGTACCTAATATTACCATGTCGAGATACTTCATTTCCTGCACCGCGTCGTAAGTTAATTTCCCATCTCGTGCTCGTATAGCGTTGTGTACCTCTTGCCTGGCCTTATCTTGGATTTCCTGATTCAAGGCTAGCTCGTAGAGGCAAAACGCGATCGTGTTCGACGACGTTTCGTAGCCGGCGGCGAAGAAACCGAACGCCTGTGCCGCGATAGTGTTCTCATCTAATTCTATAAATTATAATAGATTTTTTCAACTTTCATGAATAAAATTAGATAGAATTAAATATCGTCTACATTGCACGGAAAGAACAATTTTGCTGAATTCAAATCTGAAAATAATTTTTGTTCAATAATCAAAATAATTTTGTGCGAAAGTCAAAGTGATTACTAAAATATTAAAATGTTTTATAGCGATTCTTATCAGCTTTAACATTCCAACAAATTATTTTGATGATTCAACAAAAAATTATTTTCAGATCTGTTTTTAGCAAAATTTTTTTCGACCTTTCAATAAAATCGTTCTTTCCGTGTGCATATTATTTTCGTAAGGTAATTAGTTTACGATTAATCACGCAATTTAGTTTACCGATTTCCTTGGCCGCTTGGACGTCCTCCTCGCTGCAGATCGTCGGACTAACGGCTTCACTGTCCAGAGTACCCTTGTTTCTCAGCTCGATTAGCAGGTCCATGAAATCGTGCCTGGTCGCGCTCCCGTTACTCTCCCTCTGGCTGATCATTTGCGACACGACGTGCATGAAGAACTGAGTCACACTAGGATCGACTAGCTGCACGCCCAGCAGCCTGTACAGCCTCGGCATGGCCGTGCGTAGCATCCTCCAGAGGGTGGCCTTGTAACTCGGCTTCGAGAGCCTCTTCACCGACTTGTGAAACTCGGACGTCTCGTCGGTGAGCGCGTTTATCTGTATGCCGAAGGCGCAGCTGCCGATGACGTCGAGGATGAATTTCGCGGCCAGCTCCCGCACCTCGACCGTCCGGTCGCCGTTGCAGCTCGCCACGTCGATGAGCCGCTGCAGCTCCTCGTAGCATTCCACCAGCAGATAGAACATCCGCTTGAGCTTGCCCGACGAGAACGCGGGTGTCAGCTTCGACCTGAGGCCCTTCCACTTGCGCCCTTCGAGATTGAACAGATGGCCGGAGAGCGGATCCTGGATGCAGCGTGCCACGCATTAAAATGGGATTTAAAGCTCGTCAGTTCGGAGTTCTCGCGTATTTTAAGAAATTAGCAGTTTACGTCTAATTGGCAGTTAGCGCCTCGAGACGGGGAAAAAGATCTATTTAGTAGTCGCGTATATAGGTATATTACCTGATCACTATTGATCGGAATCCCACGATTCAGGAAGCAAGCGAAATCCTTGACGCACACGCTCCTCACCAGATCGGGATCGCGTAGAATCAGCACGGGCGATCTCACCCGAAACGCGCCAAAGAACCTTTCATCCTTGAACCACTGATACATCTCTTTCACGCCTTCCGGCTGCGACCTCCGGAACAGGAGCAGAGGACCGAAATTCCCCACGAGCACGGTCGGCTTTCTGTACGGTACGCCGCGGCATTCCCAGAAGTCAAAGGTAGCCGTGAGATAGAAGTACAGGCTACCGAAGACGAGGCCGATAAGTAGAAAAGGGTCCAGCAATATCGCTGCGATGTCAAGCATTTTCAACCTCTGGTCGACGCGCGAGTTTCAATGGGCGAATTTTCGTCTGAAAGTAATATAAGCTCCAATTTATGACAGAAATAACAATGTCTCTCTCTCTCTCTCTCTCTCTCTCTCTCTCTCTCTTTCTCTCTCATAATTTTATCATCAACGATTAAAGTGCGTCGTAATCCTTAATTTATATTGCATTCAATAATTTCTTCGACGTGAGCGGAATTATAACTCGATAGCCGCGCGCTGAATCGTTTGCGGATATATCGAGTTACGGGACATTGTTGAATCGCGCGAAGCAGCCGCGGCTGTTTGACTATACGGACGTCTATTTTTAAATTCGTTTTACAAACGTAAACACTTAACACTGGTCGCGGAGCGACAAAGGAGCACCGCGAGGAGAGATTACGATGCTCATGCTTGCGCTCGTGTTTGCGACAGATCCGATTGCACGCGAGACTCCGGTCGTGTATACGTACACAAAACACGCGCGCAGATGTTTAGCGTGAATCCCCCACACGCGAGTTCACTTCTTAACCACCTGCTGCTTTCAGCAGCAACGTCAAGACACTGGCCGAGCGATGAAACACTTTCCGTCGGTCACAGCTCAATTTCTGTTATGCAAATGACGCGTGTTTTACGAACGTTTCAGAAATATATTTCAAATATTCTTAAGAATAAAAAAAGTAGGATAAATATCCTGAATATTAATCGTTATCTTTTCTAAGAATTTTGCATGAATTTATGATTCTAATTGTTTGATTTCTGCGCGCGTAGGTCTCGAATATTGTTTCACGAGCAACGCAAATGAGCCACCGATCCCCAACTAATTACGAGTCGCGACTCTTATGGAAGGTAAGCGAATCAAATTGTCGGGTACTTCTTGCAAATGCGTATTAATTTCTAACACGATTTGCGGACAGTGTTTGTAAGTATTGAAAGCCAAGAGAGTTATGTAGATGCAAAGGTAAAACAAGGAGTGATCTCTTCCGAGAAGGATTATGGATTATCGATAGCGACTCTTGAGAGTCTGGGAATCCCGGAAAACGAAATCTCACGATCGCGATTCGGATGTTAGGTAATTCGACATAAATCAAAATAAGCGCAAGTATAACTTGAAATATATAAACTATTACGCGAAACACTAATTTAAAAAGTGTTTGGTATAAAATAACGATCGAGCTGCTCTTGAATCTTAAGTTATCGGCTCTCCATCGGCATTCGATTTTATCGTGTCTTATTTATTGCGTCTGACTCAAGCGTCAGGAATTTTTAAAAGAGAGAAAGAAGTTTAGAACAATCGTGAAACAAAAAATATATTTTATCAATCTATTGAAATTTTTGGTCTCATTGATTCCAATAATGACGCAAATTCGTTCTATAGTTGCTGTTACGCCAATTTCGCGATTATTTCATCTTTCTCACATTTAGATAAGCGATAATTTTTTACTTCGCTTACGGCTGCGTCACGCAGTTCGCGCCGCGCCGATCATTCACGCGCACTCCGTTTCTTCGCCCGAGAGGGATGCGCTGCACTCACTGGCATTCCGAGGAGTAACGAACGCAAAAACGGCACAAGCCTCGCGCCGGTGTTCGTCCGATTTGGCGTGACGGAAAGTCGGTTGAACTAAAAGACAATCCGCGGAATAGTTTCGCTGCAACACTGGTGGCACCGGCCGCTCGATCTCTCGATCACGTGGCGCGGATCGATGATCGGAGCCGCCGGTCGTCGCCGACCGCGGCGGCTCGCGAGAGGACGGCGGCGGAAAGGAAAGAGACGAGTGAAACAACAGGGGGACAGAAAAACGACGCAAATATGTATTCCAAGCGCGTGGCGTTGTATCGTCGTCGCGGCGCCGTATCGTTCCCGCGGAAAGGCTGACCTCCCACTGACTGGAAGGCATCAACGATCGCCGCGCATTTATAGAGACCTCACGCTCGCGCCGGCTTTTGAGGCCGAGCCCGCACGGCCGATCTGATACCTCCGCGGATACGCCACGGGTTATCTTCAAGAGGTTTCTGCATCCCTCTCCGTCACCGATTTCAGCCGCGCGCTGAGTAGAACGAACCTGCGTTCTTCAATTGCGCGTGGCCGACCTATCTCCGTCCGTCGCGAAAATTCATTGCGCTCGAGTGAGTGACGGAAGATAAAAAAAGAAATTTTTAATGCAACACTTGAGACGCAAATTACGGATCTTCGTATATATCTAAATTTTTATATATCATCAAAATATATAAAAATCCTGATATATATTGAAATTTTACTCGGTATAAAAATTATTTTTAATCTTGGTACAAATTCTGCCAAACAGTGTAGTAGATTAATCTAATCTTTATGAAGTCAACATATCATTTATTTGATTCTGAAGATCTGCAAAACGTGACTGAGCATTATCTTGAAAATATCGATCAATATGTTACGCGCGTAGATAAACATAGAGATACTCCGATATATTTTTATATTCCATGTAAATAAAACAATGCCAGGATCTTTTTTTCAAATGTATTTTTGCACTAAAATAATAAAACATTTTATTGTCCCTCCCTTTTTCGCTTTTGAGCTAGATCGGGTATTTGTTTGGCTGAACGAGCAAAGTTGAAAATAACGCACTGCCGAGAAAGAAGTACTTCCTTGCTTTCACAACCGAGCATTAGTTGTTATTTGCGCATTTGCTTTGATATCGATAAAACATCAAGCGCGCAAATATTGCGTTAAGATTTAGACGCTGGCGACTGTCAGTGTCTCTCTCTCTCTCTCTTTCTCTCTCTCTCTCTATCTTACATTGCGACGTGCATTGCAAATGAAAATAGATTTTCCTTTCACGTTTATCCCTGCAATGTTGATCTCTACCTCGATGAAAACAGATGGTAGTGCATGGGGAATCGTGCTTACATTCCTTTTGAACGTTTATTCGACTTGTATATAATGTATTTCCAGCCGATTCACTATTTTTTCCCCTTTTATTTAATATAAATTAAAATTTAATATATTAATTTTTTATTATCATTTAATATAAATATATTCATAATTATCATTGTTTAATATAAATTAATTTTTTGTAATGTAAAGATAATTAAAATTGAAACACGTTATGATCATTGAATTTGGCTCTGTGGAAAGAAATTCTGGGAAAATCTTGTTTGATAAAATGCAGATTTTATTACTTCAGGAATGATTACGTATCGCATTATATTAAAATATTATGTGAATGCAAGCTTATCTTTCTCAATCAGAATACTTTCATACAAAATCTTATCGAGATCTTTAGCACAATCAGAAAATTATTTTATTACATTATAAAATGATAGGCTACAAGTGGCCGTGAGATGTTATTTATTACAGGCAATTAAGTACTTGAACTGTACACGTCGAAAAATAAATTGCCAGCTGTATGCAAAGCTTCATATTTTTCAATATTTCCTAAGAATTTAAAAAAAATAAGCGTATAAGAATGCACAATCATGTGTCATCATAATTATAAAAATATGTACTCTATTCGCGCGCTTCGTATGAGACATGAAACAGAGGTGCATTAATGAAGAGCTGCGCGATTGTCCTAAATAAAAATAAATAAAAAACTTATTTGACAAATGTAGGTTTTTTATTTATAATTTTCATATGTATTTATTAAAATTGAAAAGTAAAGATGTCAATGACCAACCGTTGATAATTGGCCGACTATTGATCTTGCTGCTTGCTATAGAAGCGACTGGTTTTCGTCGTTGGAAATGTTTCGCGAACTCTACGATACGCGGTGCAGATTTTGCGAGTCTATAATTTCCTATTTTCGTTAAATTAAAGAATTTCTGTTCTATGAGTCCACCGGTAATCGAAATATTCAAATATTATGAGAGAAGTAAGCGTGCGTCTCTTGTAGATAACTCACATTTCATCGTACAATGTTTTAATTAACATATGCATTATATAAATAATCAATTCTTCTTTACACACATATTTACGATTAAATATTTTGAAAAACATAAAGTATTAAATAAATATAATCACATTATAGTATAAATTATTATGTACACTTCTAAAAATTTAATTAATTTGTATTTGTATTTAGAAGAATTATATTAAGTTATATTTTTGCAAATATTTCAGGCCATGCACTTTTCTTGTTAATTACTATCGCAAAAACGATCTGTTTGCACATTCTACGCCGAAATTTGGAATCATCTTTTTGTAGTGTGTGAGTTTCGAGCCCAAAGAAGCAGATAGTGACAGTTTCGCTGGCTAAACTTGGCAGCAAAATCTGGGAATTCGAACAGCTCTTCATTGTGTTCGCGTATCGTTCTGCAAATTGCTAAATTAGACAGTTGCTGTCAGTTCAGCCTAAGTTTACGACCTGAGAACGAGTTTAGGAAAATAATCTGCGAAAATATTGGGTTAATACAAGCGTTAAATTACCACTCTACTATATTCATCATTTTAATTTCATCTTTAAATTATATTATATTTATATGTCTGAAACACTTCGATGAGACGACGTTTCCACTAATGTATTATGTCTACAGAGAGAGAACGTACGCGATAGGATGTATAGTAGATAGTGTCTTGAAATTTTCAAACATGATTGCGATTAATCCGAATACCTGTCGGATTTTACCGGTTGCGAGAGCCGGCGTGAGCTTTGTGCGCAAATTTCGCCACCGTTGTCCGCCGAGATTGACTGAAATTCGCAGTAAGCGGATCAGCATGTTCGTTTGCTGCTGTTCCACGACCTAAATAGGACTATGAATAAATAATCAGCAATCGTATTCATTTGAATGCAATCATTGTTGCGGAAGCCAAATTAAAATTTTATTACTTATCACCTGGAAAAATTAATATCATATTTTTGGCATAATTAAAATAAAAAAGATTTAAGATTTTTATCGCGACGAAAAATTTGTAATAAAATCAATGCACTTTCAGAATTAAACTGATTATTTGTCATAGAAATTCATGTCTCATTAACGCGGAAACGTAAAGCAGTTGAACATAAAGCTGGAACATAATAGTATATGTTAAAAGTGACATCTTAATTATAAGTTTGACCACGCACCTTTCACATAATTTTCCGTAAATATTATATAAAAGATTCTAAAGCTTGAAATTCTAATAGAAGAGATATAATAGAGGTGAAATAATTTTAAGTTTAACATGTTCAAATTCGATCACGCATCTTTCGCATGATTTCTTTTATGTATAAAATGTTACATAAAATAAAAGATTATAAAGCTTGAACTCCTTAGAGGAGAGATATAATAGAAGCGAAATAACTTTCTATAGGCTTAACGTATTTAAATAAATTTCCAGTATATATTTGTTCGTATTTTTTAATGACTGATACGAAAATAGTTTTACGAGTTTTTCGAGAGCGTAGGGTGCGTGATTTAACTTACGGACATTGATAGGTTACGCAAAGCCAAATATCCAGATCTGTGTTCTGAAAATAGCTCACCATAACTTACTATAAGGAACCTTAACCGGCGAGTTTGAAAGAACATATGTCTTTTTTCACAGAAGCCAAGAATTACAATTCTGCAATATGTAAATCTTTAATTTATTAAAACTAGAATTAAATATAATATCTCGATTAAGGATTTCTCAATGTCTTTTTTATATGATATTAAAATTTTACTTCCATGCGTTTCCGGATGACAAATTCTGTTTTTGCTACAAATTCTGTAATGCTTTTTGACAGATCTCCAGAAAATAGGTTGATATCATTATTATTTCTATAATATAAATATTTTTGTACAAACACTATTGTACATATTACCGAGTTGTAATGAATCGAATTTTTACAACTGTGCGCTGCTTTTTGAATTTCGAATTATTTCATGACGGTAATAAAGCGACGAAGCTTCCCCTCGCGCGGATACGATGCGGGGAGCCGAGCCACGAGCATCACCAAAATTACGCGGACCACCGCTCGTGGATCCTCCAGTGTCTTGCGTAATAAATTCGCAGCGGATCCGACAGCGTCGATGCAGTCGGAGCCGCGGTTGGAAGAGGCCGCTGCCGCCGCTGGCGGTCGACCGCCTCGAAATGTTGATGCTAAATAAAACTTCTAGCTACTTGGGCCGATGCCATACGCTCTAATTTCCGCGAAGGCACGGCCGGCTGTGGACGTGGTGGCCCGGGGTCTGCCACGTTGGAAGACGATCAGCGCGACGGATCGCTCATAGATTCTACGAATTCTTCGCGATCGCGAAGCGGGAAGTGGAGGACTTTGGCGGAGGTGAAGAAGTCGCGGGTGAAAAGACACGAAGCCGTTCATCTTGGGCGGTCTTTTGGACGAGAAATCGCTCTCGCACGTCAAGCAACAGGCATCATCGGCAGACGGTGGGTCGAGCCTCGCAAACAACGTCCGGTCCTCGCCTCTTCCATGTGAAGGCTGCCCTGTCATGGCAGTCGCCCTTCTGGGCAAGTGCGTCGCGCTGCTGGGTCTCGTCGTGCTGCTCTACGCCACCTGCTATGGCTTCCGGATACGCGACGTCGTGCCGCAGACGCACCATCCCACCGTCTGCATTCCGGCGCATGGCAGAGCCTGCCCAACGGACAGAACGGTGACGACCGAGGGACCGATGTACTCGGCCCGGAAATGGCACGAGGGCACGGTGCCGCGGACCATCGTTGGTGGCCGGAAACCACCTGCCGAGACGACGTCAGACGTCGGAACGGAGAGAATTCAGATCGAGAAATTCGCTGCACATTCGAGAGATAGGGGTGCGACTGGATCTATGCCGAAAAGCTCCAAGATAGAAAGTGACGAAGTAGATGACGACGAAGAGGAGGAAGAGACAGGTGTGGAAGTGGAAGGCGTAGAGGAGGATGAGGAATCAGTGGGTGATTCCGAGAGAAATCAGGCAGATGGAAAGACAGATGAAGACGAAGAAGAAGAAAGTGCATCCGAGACTGAGCTATCTGATCAAGATGCTGAAGAAAAGAAAGTAAAAAAAAAATTTCCTGCTGATGACAATGATGACAAAAGTGAAGATACTGATGAAGATGCAGATGAAGCTGAAGACGCAGATGAAGAAGAAGAAGATGAAGATAAAGATAAAGACGATGATAAAAAATCTTTTAAAAAAGATTCAGAGAAAGAAATTAAAACCACAAAGATTGTTAAATCAATAAAATACAGTAAAAGTAAAGCTAATGATGAAGATGATGATGACGATGATAAAGAAGAAGACGATAAAGAAGAAAAACAGAAAATAGTCAAGTTAGATCAACGAAAAGTAATAGAATTACTTCAAAAACAATTTAGTGTATCGCATAAAAAACAAGAAAAAGACAAAGATGATGTTGAAGATAAAGAGCCTGATGTAAAAGAAACTACTCCGGCACCCAGAAAATTGGAGAAAGTGAGACTCGCCGATAAAGATAGAACGAGAACAGCTACTTTACCTAGCAAACGCGATGTGGAAAAATCAGAACAAGATGATAAAAGACCAGCCGATGTCGCGAAGCCAGCGGTTGAAAGCGTGAAAGAGACGATCGAAAGCACAAAGAAAACTGAATCGATCGAAAGCACGAAAGAATCCGTCGATAGCACGAAGAAATCAATCGAGAGTGCCAAGAAACAAACTGACGCCGCGAAAAAAGTTGAGTCGGTTAAGGCTGCTCCTAAGGCCGAGGTGCCTGAAGCTGCAACGAAGGTAGACGAAAAATCGAAGACGCGAGTGAAACCGGAAACTTCAACACCTGCGCCGAAAATTAAGGAGCAGGCGAAACAACCGGAGAAGGCAGATGTCAAAAAAGTAGTAACGAAACCAACTTCGAGATCGTCGAAGGAAGTTTCGCAAGCGGAGAGTGAGTATTATGTAAAAACGGTTCGATACGAGAAGCGAGTTTATCCGAAGATGTTTAATGCTCCTGCGTGAATAGGCATCGCGCTTGTGTGTGGCAGTATCTTAAGTAATAATTTAACTAACAAGGGAAGTTAGGGAACTCGAAAATTCAGAAAAATCTGAAACTTTGTGTAAAAGTAGAGCAGTTCATCCGTAGTACGAAACTATTTTTTGTTGGTGCTCTATTCCGTTTTGAAGGGATGAAATCACCCCTTGAAAAAAATCGGTTTTTTTCTTCCGACGTAAATATCGTCGAAACTATGAGAGATAGAAAAAAAGTGTTCTTAATCAAAGTTAAATGGCTTGAAGTATACTTTATGATAATAATAAAAAAAATTTTTTAATTTTTTTTTAATTTTTCCCCCACTTCACTTTTTTTTTAATTTTTAAATTTTTTCTGACTAAATTAAAAGTTATTTTAATGCGAATTCAACCATGTGTGATAAAGTTATTTTCCAAAGTATCATTTTCGAGAAATAATTAGAAACGCCTCTATACGCACACCATCTGTACTCGTTTACGCTGTGCACACGCAGCACGTTCTGATCGCATTTTTGCATTTAACAAAGAATAACGATGAAAGCAAATCTATTTTCGCAATATTCTACGGATATATAATTATGAATCGTTTTTATCGCGCACGGCTAGACAACGCTTACAAAGCAAAATTTGAATATCGTAGAGTATCAAGTCAAATTGGTGTAAACAACTTATTGTGGGAACAGTACGTATAATCACGGAAGTTTCTTATTTTATCAGATAATATTTGCGAAGCATTTGAACAAGCATTTGAATATTAATTAATTTCAAGTGAAATAGTTAAATAGTGAAAGACGCATACGCAGTAAATTATTCCTATTTTTATTGTAGTATAATATAAATATAAGTAGAAATACATGTGCAAAATTTGAGCTCTTTGCCTCTGCCAAATTGCATTTAATAACTTCCATTAACCTTCCATGGACTAGTGATTGCACAACAGCTACTGGAATTTCTTTTTACATGCATCACATTTTAGTGAAGAAGGAAACTACATACAACAAATGTAAAAAAATATAATAATAAAAATCAAATGCAAAATATTATTCATGTAAATTATAGCGTACCTTCGGACGATGAGACACACCACAGTTCATGCAAAAAACTTCCATATCGCATAAATTTTAATTTATTAATAAATTTTGCACATGTATTCCTACTTATATTTATATTATATTACAATAAAAATAGGATTAATTTACTGCGTATGCGTCTTTCACTATTTCACTATTTCACTTGAAATTAATTAATATTCAAATGCTTGTTCAAATGCTTCGCAAATATTATCTGATAAAATAAGAAACTTCCGTGATTATACGTACAGACTGTTCCCACAATAAGTTCTTTAGACCGATTTGACTTAATATTCTATGATGTTCAAATTTTGCTTTGTAAATGTGTCTAGCCGTACGCGATAAAAACGATTCATAATTATACATCCGTAGAATATTGCGAAAATAGATTTGCTTTCATCGTTATTCCTTGTTAAATGCAAAAATGCGATCAGAACGTGCTGCGTGAAGAATTGCTGCTGTCTCTTATACACATCTCT